CTGTCTGTCTGTCTGTCTGTCTGTGTTTGTGTGTGTTTGTCAGTGGTGGGTTTCAAAAAATTTTGGAACCTCTTCTGTAGGTGTGGCCTGCTTTCCGGGTCCACTGGTGGAACCTCTTCTAACCGGTTCGGTAGATTTGACGAACCGGTTCTACCGAATAGGTGCAAACTGGTAGGAACCCACCTCTGATTTAAACTGACTTAAAGTTTCCCATGTATACTAAAATATATTGAAAAATCTCCCAAGGCATTCCTATTAAGATGAAAATGGACGTATTACCAATGGTAATTTGTTGATATGGCATAAAGATCATTCACTGATTTTGTTTTTATAATACAGGCTGTCCTCAAGTTATGACCAGTTGTTTCATGACTGCTCAAAGTAATAAAGGGTGCGGAAGGAAAAGTTTTACAACTGGCCTTTGAAATTTGAGAAGACTTTCAGATCAGCACTTGAATAATGAAGGAAAAGGTTTGGGAAGCAAACTTCTCTAAGTGGACACAGCCTGAATACTTCTGAAACTAAAACGTTGTCACTTTTACCTGTCCAGTATTCATCTCTACCAGATGTAATGTCCCCTCCACAGTACCCACGATGGCCAGTTTTCCCGAAGGAGCAAGAGAAACAGATGAAGGAGTGGAAGGAAGGTTCAAAACGAGGCTGTTAAGTAAAAGAAAAGAGGCCAATGAAGATTCTCGGTCATCCAGTTAGAGCTGCCTGGAAATTAAATTATGGCAGCTGCATTTTTCTTTTCAGTATAAAATGTTTCGCTGCTTATACAAGCAGTTCTTCCATCTAAGCAAATGTATGTGGAGATTCTCAATCATCCAGATCATTACTGTCTCAAAGGGCAACTGGAGTGTTTTTCTCTAAGAAGAAAATGTTTTGTTTCTCGTCCAAGAAGCTTCATCAGTTCTTTTTTTTAAAATTGTTTTTATTATGGATTTTCCTTTGTTATACATAATGTTTCCATTTCTGCAACGGCAGTGTACTGTCTGTTTCACATCTCTTTTAAATACACAGAGTTTTATACACACCATAATTATAGCCATTTTTCTCATAATATGAGAATAGTACATACAATGTAATCTTCCCTTCTAATTGTTCTATACAATTTAATCCATAATCAAATATAATCCATGAGTGTGTGTGTGTGTGTGTGTGTATCTATNGTCTGCGCGATTTTTTTACAGCAGCTGAGTATGTTATTATTATTATTATTATTACTATTATTATCATCATCAACATCAACATCATCACAGTCAGCCAGATGTTCAGTCTGGGTTTAGCATTTTTGTCTACCTATCAAGTCCTTATCAAGAATCTGGGATAGGCAAATCTGGACGTTTGATGGTGTTATAGACATTGTCACAGAATGGAAGCAGCTCCTAATAAAGCTTCTGCAATTGGTGTCAAATTTGTCAATGCCTTTGGTTTTCAAGTGGTGCTCCAGTTGTTTTGGCACTGCACCCAAGGCGTTTTCAAGTGGTGCTTCAGTTGGAACTATTACTATTGATACTACCCTTGTTTGCCTTTGCCATAGTCATTCTATTTCTATTTGCAGGTCTTTGTATTTTGTTTATCTTCTCCAGTTCTTTCTCATATTTCTGCTGTCTCCAGGCACTGCCACATCATTATTATTTGATTAGTCTATAGCCATATCAATGTACAAGATTCAAACACACTTATAATTGTTGCAACTATTACCCTCAGTTCCGAATATAGACATAATGAACCCCTGAAGTATGAGAAGCTATAATGGTTCTGTTGGGCAATTGTTGACAGAGAAGTAGGCACTGTAATAACTGAACTGCTAGCAAGATGTATACCCAATCTGTGATGGGCAGAAAGCAGCTCTCTTTGAACAGGAGGTAAAAATATACATAAAAAAGCACATTTTAATAAATTATTGAGGTCATGTGAGCCAAATAGGAAAGTTAATCCATACAGACTTTCATATAGAACATTATAATAAAACTGAGACAAATAAACTTAATAATCTGAAATTATGAGGCCCCCTCTCTGACAATAAGGCTCTGACAATTTGAAGGTGTAGGGATTTCAACTCCCAGAATTCCCCAACCAGCCATGTTGGCTGGGGAATTCTGGGAATTGAAGTCCACATGCCATCAAATTGCCAAGATTGAGAAAAAGCTGTATCGGTTTAATTTATGCTTAAATCCAGTTCTTTGTGCCGCCCCTTCCCCTAAACCCAGTCAATAATACCTTAAGAGTGCCATCCAGTGATACTGAAGCTAATAGTTTACAATCTGAATTGATGCAGCAGTCTGTAATTTGGGCCTTGTGAGCGTCCTTGCTCAGGATCCTAAAGTAATAAAGAAACAGAAGGACACTCAGATATGGTTGCTAGGTGACCTGAATTAATGCAGGATCACTGTTTTTTTTTAATGTATATTTATTAGGAGTTTTATGTCAGGTAATCAACAGTTTAAACAAGAAGGAAACCAAAGACAACGCACAAGAAAAAGACAATGCACAACATTGAGTTCCAACCTACTCTGCAACAGTTCACTACCTACCGTCCCTCTTAACCGAACAACAAATGGCTGTCCTTTATTTCCTGAAATATTTTATGTTGAAGTATCTGAAATCTTTTCCTAGATGGTTCCACCACAAAACCGTGTTCAACTAAAGCGCACTCGATGAAACCGCGTAGCTGACATCATCACAGGGCGACAACAGCGTGGAGACAGAAGCACGCTGTAAACGCTAAACCTAAAATTA